GTTCTCTGCAGAGCTTACAGCAGCCCTGGCTCACTGCCCCAATGTGACTGGGTGAGAAAAGCACTAAGAACCAGCCAGGGCACTGCTGGCACCACACATTCTCAATTCACAGAAATGTCAAACTGACACAGATTCAGGAAAGTGGCAAACTGAACTTGAAGATCAATCTAAAAGACAAAAATCCTTCAGTGTATCTGCTGCAGGGAAGAGACTGCCAGAAGGAATAATGTCTTCCTACTAGGGCAAGAAAAGAAGCTCATGAGCAACTGGGCTGAGCCCAGAAGTCCCTTCCGACTTCAACCATTCTCTTATTCCGAGCACATCTTGAGAAGGCTTTAGAAAGAAGTAAGCTAAAGAAGATGTTTCCTGCAGCCCTGTTCCAAGGCAATCACCAATGGAGGAACCAACTAGCTTCAAGCAAGAGGATCTGCCATGCTACACTGCATTTTGTCAGCTATGTTTTGAGCAGTCCTGAAAAAGAAAGAAATACTAGAGGGTAGAGGAGGACAGATGATTCTGTATGTGTAAAGAAGTTTGGTGTGTACTGATCAAACTTTTGCAACCTGCACACAAGTCTGCATATGCAGCAGTTTTAAAGGGATTGAAAGCCTTTTTGTGTGTTTAAATACCTTGGGGGCTTGGTGGAGGAGTCATTGTTTACTCTAAGAAAATCATCACATATTGAGAAATAGTGCTGTTATTTACCTTGCAGTGTGTGAAAAGCAGGAATTCTGCACATACTAGCTGTAGAAAGACTTGGGTATGAGCTTTAAGGTAAGTTTGAAGAGTACATTACAAGTTTGTATAAAGTCACATGTTGCATTACTTACCCCCAGCAAGCTCCTCCAGACTTGGGACATGAAAAGCAAACCTTTCGACTTTGGCCATTTCCTAATCAGTGCTGATTTCTTCAGGTAAGAAGTTATAGTACAGCACACTGCAGAGTGATTGGTCTGCCAACAAAGATAATAGTTTAACAATTTAAACATGCTCCTTTCAACACGTTAATTATTTCTCAATTTTACTCAAGAATACATAGAAAAAATAGAACTGCAGTTCTGTCATCACAGGAGAGACTGACAGCTTCAATAGTAATGTTAAATTTCTTATGCACTTTGGAAGATGTGTCTGTCAGCCCTATAGCTGGCTCAGAGAATTACACACATATTAGTCCTCAAGCTGACAACCAGGTGTAGGGAAAACACATCCTATGCTGAATGCAGTTCAAGGGATCAGGAAATTTGGATGTCTTCTTGTAAGCCTGAAGTCACAAGAAAGTTTTGAAAGAAATCGGAGCCTTCCTGAGCACATCAGCTGCCTCCTAAGGTCTTCCCAACCTTAATGTTTACTTTTCCAGCGTTGGCTATGGTGGACTTTCACCCCCAACTGTGACATGGTCTCCAATTAGTTCTGGCAAGTGTTTCCCCTTCCAGAGAGAAACAGGCTAGCAGCAAAATAGAAATCAACAGCAGAAAGTTCTGCAGTATGAAGCTCTGTATGTGTACACAGCCTGTAACAAAGACTCTTGAACATGAGTTTAAGAGCCTCTTCACAAATGAACTGTACTTCAGTGAGCCTTGCAACAGCAAAGCCAGCTAGAAGGGCAAGCCACTAGCTCAGGGCAGAAACAACTGATTGTACACTACCTAACAATCAGCGGCAGCAATCATTAACTCCTTAGGCACATACTTGCTGCACACAGCAATAAAAAATAAAATGGGTCCCATTTACTCAGATCTCAGGTGTTGAAGGAAAAAGCCAAAATCCTAACTACGTTCCTAGACCTAACTGAGTCTTTGTTAGGAAGGACTACGGTGTGAGACAGCTGCTTATGTATAGTTCTAGCTTCTGTTTTTAAAAAATTCTAACTTTTATGACTGTCAAAAAAATGTAACTGTCCTTACACCATCAGCCTCATGAATCAGCATAAAGGAAAAAAACAAACAAACAGTGTAAAAAAAAAGAAATAAGAAGAGTGGGGAGATTGTAGCAGTCACTTAACTGAAATATTTGAGCTCAATCCTCAACCACCCCAAATTACTGCTGTAGCAAGCAGTAGAGAAAGGAAGAAAGACTGCAAACAGTGTATAGTAATTCTCATCTTAGTTGGTCTTATTTATGTCTGCAGTTGACTTTGTCCCTCCTCTGGCTCTGGAGGAGAAAGTAGCAGGCTGGATTTGGTGCCTCTGGTAGAAGCCTAATGTCAGGAGGATTCAATCATACCCCAAGACTTTTAGTGTGCACCAAGAAAAGCAGTAATTAGCCATAGGCAGAAAGTGAGAACATGGCTTTGGCAGCATTGTTGGAGATGATCCTCACCCCCTCAAGAACCTTTTGCCACATCCAGAAGGAGGCTGTGCCAGCACTCAACACATTGGTTGTCCGAAACAGTCTGAGAAGACAAACTAGAAGTGCTGTTGTGCAAAAGGCAGAGGCGAGACTTGTACAGTATTCAAATAAGTTTGCTCCCCAAAATCAAGAAAGGAGAGAAAGACTGTGGAAAAATTTGATGTACCATAATAAACCCAGTCTGAGTGGTAGACAGTAGTTCTTACGAGGAAAGACACAAAATCTGTGGCCCACCACTGCAAATATTCACAGGAGAGTGAATTGCGTGATGTGGGACAGAGAGAACCTGAGACAATAGCACACAATTAAGATCCACCACGGAGGGGTGCAGTGACACTGAATTGCTAGAGAAGACTTCCAAAGAAAGAACACAAATGCTAAAGGGATGAAAAAATCATTGTAGATGTGGGATGGCACAACTAGAATGGAGGCAACAAATATGCAAAGACTTAAAAGTTTACCTTTGAAGTGGGAAGAAAACATCAGAGAGAGTAGCTAGGTGCCAGGAGAACGCAGATGAAATGGGAACCACTGCATTAATTGTGTGTGGAGTGTCTATTATCAAAACCTGAATTGAAATTAAGTAAGGGGGTTAAAGCCAAAAAGGAGAGGTTATAGGCAGGCTAGACATGAGTCGGGGAGGGGGGTGGTGGCGGAAGAAATATCAGTGGAAAAAATTTAAGACGGCAGTTGCGAGAAATTTAGCCATGACACCAAAAAGAGCAAGACATCCTCAGAAGCAGAAGCCGTATTTCTCGCCTGGGGCGGTGCGAGGAAATCCCGTGCGTGGCAGAGGAAGGCTGCGGGGGAGCAGAAGCAACTGCTTGAGCGGCTGGATTTGGGGAAGGGACGCGTCACGACAGGGTATTAACAGGCGTGCTAGGCGAGGCGGGGGTCCATAGGGACAGAGAGCATCCCGGCAGGCAAAGGCAGCGAGGAGTACTGGAGCGAGGGAGCGCTAAAGGCGGCAGCACGCTTGGCATGGCTGCCAGGGGAAGGAAGGGGCTGTTCAGGCTGGAGCAGCCAGATCGGAGGAGCCTGAGCAGCGCGGGGAAGCAGCACAGCAGGAACGGCAGCCTCTCACCGGGCGGGAAGCCGAGGGAAGCCGGGACCTGCCCGATCTCTGCCACGCACCGACCGCCGCTATCGCCCGGCCGCACGTACCTGCCCTGCTGTCCGGGACTGGCACAGCAAGGCAACACACGGCTCGGCTCGGCTCGGCTCGGCCCCGCTCGTCTCGGCTCCGCCCCGCCCGGCCCCTGGGCGCGGCCGCCCCGTGCCACTCCCAGCATGGCGCCACGTTCTTCCCTCCTTCCCGTCGGCCCGCGCGCCTCGCGCGAGCACAAGGCGCTATTTAAGAAGCGGAGCCGCCATTGTGCGTCCTTTCCGGCGGGACAGCGGGAGGAGCAGGTGGGTGGTTCGAGGTGGTTGCATCCGCCGCCATCCGTGCTGCTGGGGCCCGGGACCGAGGGACTCGGGGGTGGAGGGTTAGTCCGGGCGGTGTGAAGTCGCGCCCCGAGGATCGGGGCCTGTGGCGGCGGTCGGTGGGGGGGTGTGCCCGGCCCATGGTGACTTGGTGCGTGCCCGCGTTCGAGCGGCCTTCCCGTGTCCCCGCCCCAGCGCACTGCCGGCAGCCAGGCCTGGCGAGGGGTCGAGCGGTGTGCCTGGTGCCTTTGTCAGGTTCTTCAGGAAGTTTAGATGGTTGTTTTTCTTGCCTAAGGGATCTGCGTGCTATGCCAGTGCTCTGGGCCGGAGCTGGTGTAGAGGCCGCGAAGGATGCTGAGTTGCGACTTGTGAATACTAGGCAGAGTCTGTGTGATCAGAGTGGCATTGCTGCCCCTGTCCTGGCTCTGGCGTTGGTTGGTTTTGTTTCTGGGCTTTGCGTTTGTCAGGCCGTGGGTGAACCAGTGTTAGCCGTGTGAAGTGCAGGCAGACAACATGCACAGCCTTTGCCTCATCTGCTAAGTGGGTCACCTGGTCGTAGGAGATCAGGTGGGTCAGTTGCGACGTGCCTTTCCTAAATTCGTGCTGGCTGGGCCTGATCGTTTGGCTGAAATGCGTGTTTCCTCAGGATGATCTGCTGCAAGACATTGGATGAGTTCTGTTATAGTGTCTTCAGATACTGAACTGTGTGAAATTGCATTTGGAATATTAATGGGTATGATGGTGAATTTCTAAAATTCTAAAAAGCACAGTAAAGCTAGAAAGATACAGATCTACAGGGCTAGTAAATGACTTGACAAGCAGGTAAAATAACTTGAGGCTATTACAGAGGAAAACCAGGTTCCTCTGTTGTATTTTCCAGTCCCTTTTCTATAGATTTGGCCACTGAAGAGCTGGATTGGGATGTCTTGCAGATTCAAGTGAAAATTGCATTTTGGCTCTGGGGCTTGCCTCTATGATGATTGATAACCAGTGAACAAACGGGTGATGCCTTGTTAGGAGCAGGAGATTTTAGGTATCTTACAGCTCACAACAGTAGGAAGAGGGCATTACTTCTCATAATAATAACACTGTTTTGGATTAATTTAGAAGTTTTAAACCACAGTGAAGTAAGTATTTATATATGACTTAAAACTGCAGTATCCCTACAAGTATAAGAATCCATTGCCTACTTGTATGTGTGCTTATTTGGAGGAAAACTTAACCCTAGTAAAAAGACTAAAAGTTCTGACCTCAGTTATGCTGTGGCTATGAGTTTGACGTTAGTCTGAAGACTATAACTGGTCATGAATCATAGGAGAACCTCTGCTCTAGTTTGCTTAAGATCGTTCTTACAAGTTTACCCTGTGATCAGAGTGGAGTAGAAGAAATTTTGTTACCTGATTAATGTAAAATTTTGTTTAGTTTCTTGAAATTTCATTGCTTTTTAGGGCAAACTGAAACATGACTGATTCTGATGAACCCCAGGCTTCCGGCTCTGATTACTCTGATGCCCAAGAGTTGATCAGCCATCAGCAGAAGGAGCCATGTGAGGTATATTCATGGCAAACGAATACAGGAACAGAGCATTCGGGGGCAAGGCCCAAGGTGGCTGATCCTGGGGAGTCTTCAGATCATCCTAACAGCATGTATAAATCAGCAACAGCTTCAGCTGACGTTTTACTGATTAGCAGTGATTCAGAAACGTGAGTTTTTATCTCTATTTCAGAATATTTCCTGTGAGGAACTTGTGTAATGTATCATAAAGGTGTACCTTCTTTTGAAAGTAAATACTTTTTTCTTCTTCAGTGATGTCTCTGTTGCTCATCCTGAGTGCTCCATCGCACCGTCAAAGCAGAAAAGGAGATCTCAATCTTCAAGGCAACAAATTGAATCTGTTGCAGGAGTACCTGACAATGAAAGTTCTTCAGATTCTTCTCTGTCTCCCCAAAGTCCAGGGAAATCCTTGGAAACTTCCAAGCAGCAGAAGTCAAAACTCAATTTGAAGGCCATTTTTGCCCGTCACTTCAGGGGACGGAAGTTCAAAGCAGCTGCACACCGAAAATACAAAACTCGCGCCCTGAAGAATAAGAAAAAGTGTGAGAGCACACAGGTGCCCACAGGGAGGCCCCCACTCACAGCCTCCCCTCAGGAACAAAAGAGGAGGCTTCTAGACAGAGGTTTTCAGTTCCCTTTTGTTGAAAAACATTACGGGGAGAAACATGTTCCCTTAAAGATGGTTCTTGACTATGAGGTAAGGCCTCTGTTTTGTGGGATAAATATTTTCTTAGTCTAAAAATAGTGAATTGAAATGGGCTATGTTGTGCTACTAGAATAGAACAATGAAACAGGTTTTACTTCTGTTAAACAGGACACTTGATGTTGTAGTTTTAATACCTTTTAAAGCAAACAGCAAGAATATAGTGTGTTGATAGAACGTTACAATTTAGTTCATAATTATATAAATGCCTTATAGTGGCATTTTTAAGATCTTACCCGAGTATTTTTTTCTACAGCAAGCAGCTGCAAAGGGATATTTCAAGTATATTGAAGTTCTTAAATATGAAGACCATCTTAAAAAAGCTTTAAAAACCCTTCAGGCCAGTGACGACTTAGAAAAAGAATGTTTGGTGTTTCGGAAACACAAATACTTAGATGATGAAGGCCCCATTTCTCCTATTCAGGAGACAGGGTAAGTTCATATTTGCTTGCTTTTTTGTGCTTAACTAACACATAGATGTGCGTATATCAAGTTCAGTGTTCTCCTGTCCTTTTGACTTACGAAAGCATTGTTTATTTTGTGAACAAAGCACTCTACCACTTGGGATTCTGCATTTGTAGATGTGACTTAAAAGTCCTCACAGAAGGAAGTATTTTTAATTTGATCTGGAGACTGATAATAGTTAATAGAAATTGAAATAAAGTATTTCCTAGAATGCTGTGTTCTAAAACAAAGACTAAAGAACAATTTTTAATACCGTTCTACATTAAAAAACAGTGTCATCTTTGGTCTTCGGGGTCAAGCAATTAGCTTAGTTCAATAAAAAGATGAGTAAATCAGCAAGAATACTTGTTCTTGTAAATAAACTCATAACCTTTAGAAAGCTTAAAAGGCAGTGTGAGGTACAATGCTGTCTTTCAGCTACTGTTTGCTTAAGGGCTTGCAACATCCACATTTTAAGGTACTATAAAAGTACACAGTTTGATCTAATTTTTTTTATTTCAGTGATGATGACAGCTTGAATTCTGATACTCAGGAACAGTTTGATGCCAGAGTAGTGGTAAGTAAGCACTTCTTAACTTCAGAACCACTCTAGCCTTTCTGTTTTGAAGTTAAAGAATTAGTAGATGATGTCTTCAGTATTTAATTCTTGAGCTTAGATCCAGAGTTAACTGTGACCTTTGTGAATCCTGATCTTTTAGTGTAGAAGGAGGTTGATAGTCTACACTCTTCTCTTCAGTGTAATGCTGAAATATATAGGGATTCTGTAGAGTTCTTGAAATTCGCAAATATACTACTAAGAATCTTAAGTATCTCAAAACTAGACTTGTGACTACTTCTGTCTTCCATTTTCTTAGGAGAACAGCTCTTTCATTCTAAGCAGCACAGTTCCTAGTAAAAAAAAATCGAAGCCAGGAAGAAAACATGCAAAACCACCTGAAGTGATTGAAATAGTGGATGAAGAAGACAATGCTGAAGAGAGCTCAGTGCCTGTGCAAGGCTCAGCTCTGTGAGCAGCAGATGGACAAAAGGAGGTGGCAGTGGTTGTTCTTCAGATGCCTCTTTCATGGGCCTGTTTGGTTTAAAACACCAGTCTGGAGTCAGTGTTGAGCTCTCCACTCAGCTGCCTAGGCACATTTGGCTTACTGTGAGTATATTTGGCTTGTGTCTGAGACAGTTACCAAAAAAGAATAACTTTCCTTATGCTAAGCTTTTTAAATGTCTTCTGTCCTATTCTCTATCAAGAGTGTAATATTCCTGGTTCAGTGGCTGATGATCTTGGTGAAATTCTGGTTTTGCAACTTCTGTTAACTAACGGATCATAGAATTGATGTAATTAAAAATGGGAGGACAAGTTCCAAATACTGTAGGGGATACAGCAGAGGATAGAAAAGCATGCATTTATCTGTATGCTCAAGTTAAAAGGGCAGTTTAGATGCCTTTCTTTCACAGCTGACTTCTTTGTGGATGGTCCTTGAGAGATTGTTTTTCTGTCTTAGAGGTGCAGGTTTGAAATGCTTTGGAAGTTAAAGGGTTGAAGACAGAATTTAAGCTTAATGCAAGTCAAGTGCCAACAATAAAAATGTTGATGTGGTTGGTCAACTTTGACAAAAGTCTATTGCAAAACTTGGTTAATGTATTTGAATGATAATAAAATCCAATTTTGTATGATTGAAGTTGTCTATTCCACATGGAATAACTCCTCAGAAAACTAATTCTCTGCTCCTTAATCTAATACAATAATCTGAAGTTGTAAGTTAATTGTAAAAATAACTAGCAGTATAGTGATTCTTGGATTAAAAATGTTTTCCCTCTTGCCCTCCTCTGTCCAGAATGGTTTCTGATGTGAATATGACTTAGTAGAAGCTAAAAGCTCTTTATTAGCGGTACTTAGCAGGCATTGCCCCAACTGCAAATATCTTTCTCAACGGTGTTTTGGTCAGTAGAAAACATGTCTAGTGTTTAGAAGTGGTCCGAATATCAGAGTCCTACTGCAGCAGTTTTGGTAGCTGAAGTAATAAATGTTTAAAATGTTCATTTGCGAATCAGCAAGGTTTAAAAATGAGTGCTCTTAACCAAGTAGCTGTCAGCAGCTGACTGACAGCTGTTCAGCACATAAAAGTAATCTGTGCTGAACAAATTTCTGTTGTCAGAAGAAGACTGTCTGCTGGTTAAATTTCCTTAAAATGCAACTGTGACAGTCTGAGGAGATTTGCAGTAGGTGCTCAATACTGAGAGCAAGTCAAGCTGTATTATTTAGATGCTTGAATTAAGGTCCCAAACTTTTGTTAAGAAAGTTTTCCAAATGCAGTTTGATTGCTCTAGGACTGCAAAAATTATCTTCAGCATTTAAAGATCACAACTAAAACTGGTCCAGAATTAATGGCTAAATGTAGCTCTTCTAGGTGTCTCCCTGAGAAATACTCAATGGCTTGAAAGACTCATCCTGAATCTTAGGAGTGAGATTCTTGCATGGTAGGGCATAGAGAGGGGTATGTGGAGTCCTGCTCATTCTGCAGTTCATGTGATGAATTTGGCTGTTCAACTGCTGAGTGACTCAGAAATGAACTAAATTTAAATTCTGATTAGAACTGGATAAATACGCATGAAATTAAGCTTATAGCTGTTAAACTGATTCTTGAAATCTAGCTTTCACCTCAGGAATCTTCAGTTATATGACTGTATATGACAGTTCTTAATCACTTTGTTTTTCTTTCCCTTCTAGTTTATGTTGCTTTTGGAAGATGAAAACACCTCGTTTTTTTTGCTGCACAAGGTAAGCTTGGGTTTCAGTTTTGTTTCCTTCAGGTAGCTTTTCATTATTTCACAAAAGGTTTTGAAAAAGTGGTTCATAGTTAAAATAAATACATTACAATGCTAGATAGCTGTGCAGCTTGTGTGTGAAGCTTACAAGGTATGAGTTCAGTGCTACATTCCTTTCATCAGTCTCACCAAAATTATAGCCTGTAGCCTCTCTTGGAACAAAAACTTGTTCAAAGTTCTTGAGTTCTTGAATACTTCAAAGTGCAGTTTTTGTTAGAAAACAAGTTTTAACTGATGTCAGATGCTGCAGAGCAACTTTATCTGTTTTGGTTTGGACAACACTGCCTGGAATTTTCTCTGCTGAAGCTGTTGAGGAACTACTTTCCCCTCAGTGTCATCGTGGTGTCTCACCTATGCTTTTTTTACCTGGCTGTATCATACAGCTGCAGCTTCTGGTGGCTTCCCTGTGGTAAAATTCCATCTTAATTCATATCCCTTGGAAGAACAGAAGGGACAGCAGAGAGCAGCTGCTGAGTCGTGCATGTACATGACTGTGAAAGCGTTTTACTGTAGGATGTTGCCAAGTTTGCATGGCTTGGGACGGTGTAGGAAATAGCATGGAAGAAAGCACGTTGTAAGCATACAGCATAGGAAAACCTCTTTCATATGGGAAACACAGAGCTGAGGGTGGGCAAGTGAAACCATACCAAGAACATTCTTGAGTAAGAGGATAGGACCAGATATCTCACTTGGCCGTTACTGTAGGTAGAGAACTGCACTAGGGAAGCACATCAGGCTGGTACAGTGTATGTGATTCTGAACTCCTCACCCCAATTACCTTGGTCCAAGCTACCTGTGTAGAACTGAAAAGCATCGTCACTGTCATCTGCTTCTACTGCTGACAGTAAGTATATAGTCAATTGGGAAGTAGCTGCAAATGCTGTTTGAAAAATAGTAACATAATGTGTTCAGTCTGTTCCAGCACTTGATCAGGTATTGTCTTTTGCTGTAGACAAAAACCTGGAACCTAGTGCTTAGAAAAAACCCTTCTTTTGCAACCCACAGCTGATTAATGTATTAGCTGTGTTACTTATATGAAGGGACAATATTTGCATGGCCTCAAAGACCATTCATTCAAGTACTGATCAATCTAGTGTTTGGTTTTCTGAATTTTCAGAACTGTAGTTGGGTTGTATCTTTTGTTGCAGATGAGCACGCTCACATTGCAGGAGCAGTTGTAACTTCTTGGGGATCTCTTGAATTCTTATGGCTATTTGCTGACCTTCTGATTCACAAATCCATTACTTCAGTGGACATTTGTGCAACATGGTAGCAAAAGAGGTGGGTGAGCTCTTATGTTTCTTTTGGGCTTCAGCATAAGACTACTGGATTTCTTCAGTCTAGTGCTATTCCTACAGCAAATAATTAGACTAATTTGTGCACTGTATGGTATCTGCACCCATCAGTGTCTTCCTGATGGGGTGTTCAAAAAGCAGTGCTACAGCATTTCAACAGCTGGCATCGTTGGTTTTCATGCAGATGTGCTGGTTAAACTTGGTATTTCTGTTGAAACAAGTAGATTTAGTGTTTCTTAGTGGGAAACTTTTCAAATACAACATCAAAAAAACTGTTAAACTGTTATGGGGTAAAAGTGTAGTTAAACTATTGACGTTGTCACAAAATATTTTTTCTTAAAGGGGCATTCCTGTGATGGATGGAACACATTGGAAAGCCTCTACTCAGATGTAAGTATTGAGGAAACAGCTAGATTTTTTCCTAGGTGGAGGTAGTTGCATAAAGATAAAAGCTCAAGTCTTGACTTCTTGACTGCCTTTTGACAAGAAAAAAATAGCATTCTCTTTTTAAACACAAATCCAAGTTCCAGATGGCCACTAGAGACAGATTTCATTCAAAGTTACCTGGCTGGGCTTAAAAACCAGGCTATTTTAAAGACATTGGAGTTTTTATGCCTCGTTCTTCAGCAACTAGACACAACCTGCTGTGTGTCTGAATTGGAAAACGTGGCTAGAAGAGTAACAGGTTCTGCTTTCCTCACTGTACACTTAATTGCAGTGGTGACAATGAGACCTGTAACAAGTTCATTTAGTGGGACAATTCTGCAAACATACTTGAAAATGCAGCTATTATGAAATTAAGGGTAAACTTGAGTTGACGTGCCTCAATTCTCCATCCTAAGTACTAAGAGAAGTAGAATTAGCAGGTAGAGGAAAAAGACTTGCAGTGCTGAATTCTTGTAGATGGCTTATTAAAAGCATATTTTTAAGGTGTCTTACAATGGTCTCTTCCATGCTTTTTGTGAGGTAACTCCCTTAGTTTTACCCTTCTGTGCCATAGTGCTCCAGTTCCTTTAACTGCAGAGAGACCTTGTTGGTAGTTGTGTGATATAAACTGGGCTGTGGTTTGGTTGCAGGTAAAATACTTTGTCATCAGCATTCAGCCAGTGTAACTGGACTACTGTCTACCTGGCTTCATACTGAGATAAAAGCACCCAAGTCTTGAGGGACTGCTAAAATACTGAGGAAACTTGAAAGAATTACTTAGTTACAACAATTTACTTTCTTTTAGGAAGTGCACCTGAAGTCCAGTCTGAACTAGCATCTTGGTAAGTATGTGTGATTTTTTTTTCCCTTGCCTGTTTCAGGTCAGCCACCTGTCTTTAACTTGGTGAGCTGGTTATACTGCTGCTCCTTTCTTACTGAGAAAGTGCAGTGTTATCTCAGAAAACATGAGAGCTTATCTTCCCTGAACTTGAGAATGCTGTGAGAAAGTTGTTGTGATGATTGGCAAAATGTTCAACTGCTCTGAAGAGAGTGAGTGAGAAGAGCCTTTCTGAACAAATCTACTCAGTACTGTTGTGTAGGTTCTGCTGATTTGCATGCATATACATGCTGGTTTGTAACATTATTTGTTTTGTTTCTGGTGGCAGGTACTTAGAGAAGTGAAGTAAGAAATGTAGGATGCCATTTCACAGAAGTCTCTGAAGCTGCTTCGAGGGTTAGTGTGATGTCTGAAGTTCTGCCTGTACCTTAATGACTGGGGGGCTCTGGTTGTCACGTAGGCCAGAAGTCTCTCAGATCAAACTTACTAATTTGTGAAGGTTTCAGGGACTGTTTTCAACATTACACTACTATACCTTAATGGGCCATAACTTAAGTTTGCTCAAAGAATGTTCATGTAAATTCCTCAGTCAAAAACGAAGTAGACAGGTTCACTGCTTAAACTGGTAGTTTTGTGTAGACCAGTAAGTTACATTTAGTAGGAAATTTATAGGGAGGATTCAGCAGAGTTCTGTAGTTAATTCCTGTTGATGTTTGCTTCTCAGGTAATTTGTAATTTAAAAGTTGCTAATATGAAGGAAATGCTTGTGTATAATTTAATCTCTTCCGTCCCCAAAAAGTCTTCAACATAAAATGACAGATAACTTTCCAGTCTGCTTGATTTTTATTTCTCTCGTGTTAATTTTTAGTATTGTTATTTTTTAGAACTGTTGAGGTCTATCCCGATAGGATCTTTTCTATAGGTTCATGTCGTTGGAAACGCCTCACAGAATAAACTTGTGGTTTGACTTTACCCACTTAACTACCTGTTAGCTCTGTGGGATAAAACTGCAAGACAAATCTTAGAGTTGAATATGAGGAATTTGGGGATGCCCAGTGTTCTCCTTTATAGGTATACTGAAACATGCTTGCAATACAAAACAAGAAGTGATTCAAGTGGAAAAACTTGTTTGGAGTCACAACTCAGTGTGTTCTAGAACCTCAGGGGCAGCTGTCATTGTGAATTATATGGGCTGAACTGAGTCTTTTGCCCAGGTTCTTGTGTAGGCACCTGACTTGTAATACAGTCTTTTTGCTGCTTGTTTTCTGAATGGCTTCAAACAGTCTATTCCCCCTTTAATCATGCAGGAGTGATTTTTTTCTTATTTCAGTGGCTATAGGTAAGAAAAAACAGCACTGTGGTGTCTATTATGAAGTAACTTTATAAAACAAAAATACATCAAGTTTATATTGAGAGATGTTCCACAGTTTCATACTGGGCAGCAAGACTTGAGTTATTTCTTTAAGTATGGTGTTTAAAGAGTTAATTTCTGAGCAGTTCAGCCAATTAACTGCTATATTGTTGAAATCCTTGGATTCTCTTCTGTAGAACGAAGACTCCAAAATAAAAGACTCAAAGTACTCTGGAAAAAGTATAAATCTCCACATAGGAGAATTCTAAAGCTGCTGTTCATGTTAGTCTGTTACCCCTGTCAGCAACATGGCAGTGTTGTGAAGAATACCTCTTATTCCCTGACACCCACTGGTGCAGGCAAGAAGCTCAAATGTAGAGTGAGCTGTTGTGGTGCAGTACTTGCACCCAGCAGCCTTCTGTGGGATGTTAAAAAAGCAGTGCTACACCAGTGCAGCATTTGGCATCCTTGGTTTTCATTCTGCTGTGTCTGTTAAACCTGGTATTTTTGCTGAAACAATCTTTAACCTCTTCAGGGATTTCAGTGTACTTTGTATTTTCATGTAACAAATGAAAATAGAAGTTTTCATTTGTCTTCGTTTTGATTATCTGTGTGAAAACTGGCTACTGGCCTCTGGAACTCAGCAAGTGCATTCAATTCTTTCTAACAGGTGCTTGAGGATACAGAACAAAGTGAACTGTCCTGAGGTTAAAAAATGGAAGTAACCTATTTGACAGGTAAGCACTCAGTTACTAGTTCAGTACTGTTTCACAGTTGGTGTATTAACTTTGTATGACTGTAAATGTGGGAACCACTAAATTGTTGTAGAACTCAGTGTAGAAATGGTTGTGTAGTACCATGGATTGCTGGGTAGTGATCACTGCAGATCTTGGCAGTATCTGAGCAGATCACTCATCTGTGAGTCATTCTTGTATGTGTACACATACTTTAAATTGCTGCCGATTTTGCAGTCATTTGTAGTACTGGTGTCTTAGACTGCTGTTGGTTGTGGGGAATTCCTCAGTACTTGGAGCTTGTGCCATACTTCAGGCTTGTTTGCAACTTGGTTATGTATTGGCAGGATTGACTGGTCCTTCACTGGAAAAGATGGGCAGCTGAGTTATTGAGTCCCATAAGAGCAGTGAGAGGGGTATCTGGTCATTACCAAGGCTGCTAGGATGTTCCTGTTTCTGGTGAGCTGTGGACATGACCATAAAGCAAATCCACCAGACTCGTGTTGTCTTGTCACATGATGTGGCACCAAGTCTGCTGGGAATAGAGCTTTAACATAGGTCAAGGACACAATATTCCCTTTTCTTGTTAAGAGTAAGTTCCTGCTGAGGTATAGGGATGTGTCTTGTAGGGATGGATCCTTGGGCACCTTCAACAGTTAAGCTACAGTGGAACAAAAGTTGCAGTTGGGAATTTTGTAGATTGGATTCTAGAGCTCCTGCTGATAGTGTGGTTCTTTGGAGCAGAAGCAAAAAAAGGAAGCAAAGGCTATTCATTCAGTTTACACTCAAGGTGCACTTTTCCCCTGTACTAACCAAACCAACTCTTTAACTCCTAGAGTCTGCTGCCAAGTTGTTGGATGTCAGAGGCATGAGAAACACCATGTAGGAGCTACCAAAGTGAGTGTGAAGGTAAGGGCACTTAGCAGAAAGGCTGATACTGTAAAGAAATTGAAGGTCACTTCAAAGAGGGTTTGCATGGCTGAAAAACCAGCAGCTCTTAACGCGGTGACCACATATTGAAATCCTCTTCAGGATGCCGTGGCCACTCCATGTGTGCTATGGTCTATTTGTGAGGAGATAACACCTCATGTCGTTAGGCCTCCTGGGCTGAAAAAGGGCCTTACCCTGCTGCTTTTGGGGTTTTGATGCTGATGTAGAGGAGAGGCTACTCAGTTCCATACTGAAGCAAGAACTTGCAGCACTGGACATTAGGGAACAGGGTTGCTGCAGTTGTGGTTTGAGCAGTCTTGCAGCCCAGCTGCTGCTTGTGTGTCTAGAGAGGAACAACGGAGCTGGGGAATGGTCTGGAGCACAAGTCTGAGAAGCAGTTGAAGGTGTTTAGCCTGGAGAAAAGAAGGCACGGGGGAATCTTTTGCTTTGTACAACCACTTGTACGAAGCTTGTGGTGGTGGGGGGAGGGTTGGTCTGCCAAATAACAAGCAGGAGGATGAGAGGAGATGACCTCAAGTTACACCAGGAGAAGTTTAGACTGGATATTAGGAAAGTTCCTTTGGATTGAAAGTGCTAATAGATATTTTTCCTCTCTTAGATCCTGGTGATGTTGCTGCAATGCAACCTGCTGCAAAGAACTGCACAGCTGTTACAAATGAAGAAAACATCTAGAGTATATTGCAATTTTTTTGAATTAGACACTCATTTTAACTTGTTATTGCTTTGTACACTGTAATAGCACATGTTGTAATTTTCCTCTTGCCCTCCTTGGAGCTGTGGTGAAGGTGCTGTGCTTAGCTTAGAAAACAGGGATAGAAAACCTCTCTTTTTGGAAGAAGTAACAGCGCATGATCTTTAATTCTCCCATTCAAGTGCTTTATTATGTACCTTCTAACTGCAGGAAACCATGCTTCTACTATTAAAGTACATAGTGCAAAAAAACCTGTCTTTACAGAAAAAATGTCCTGTATTGAAGAATTCAAATAAAACTTTATTTGAAAGTGTTTTATACATCTATATTACAAAACTTAGTGTCTGTTTCAAATAATATAAGAAAGGCCTTTCAGGCCAGTAACTCAATCTGAGACAAACAATGAAGAAAGCAGCACAGTCCATCTGCTGCTGTGGTTAGCCCTGAACAGGGTCTGGGGTACTTCACTGTATTCCTACAGCTTAAAGCTGAGGATTCCTAAATAGCTTCACAATTCATTTAGGCTGCAGCACGCAGGGGCCTGGATTGTACCAATCCCACTGTGTGCCCTTGTTGCTCAGTCTTTGCCAGTCATGGTGCTTTCCAAGTCTTCTTGGCTCGCAGTTTTTCCAGCATTTTCTGCAAATACAACAAACCATGAGACTCCAGTACTGAAGATTAAGTGGCTGCCCTAAAGCCAGCATGCCTGGGTACTGTGTGTAACCGGAACATCAGGAATGAGTGCAGTGCCTCCCCTGTTCCAAAGAGGTCACAGTTTAAAGGGCAGGAGGGAAGGTGTGCTTATTTCTCTTTTCTGGTCATGATGGGATCTGTAAAGCAATGTAAGGAGCAGCAGTTCATTCTACCACAAAGCAGGTGAGGTGTGGTCAGGGCTAAGGACAGGAATTGGACCTAGATCCCCCATGGTCGTCACAGCCTCTCAGGATTATTGAGCATTTCTTTCACTTGTCTGAGGCCCAGGAGGGGAATGGGAGAATTGTTCCACAGCAACTGCCATCAAAACGCCAACAAGATTCTTGAACCTTTCAAGTTTGGACAAGTCCAGAATCTTACTCCACCTCGGGTAGCCAAAGCAGCCCAAAAAATACCAAACCCAGAACATTGCCTTAAAATGGAAGTTTGGTTAAGTCTGGACAAATAGAAAGGCTGCCATTCTTTTGCCACAGACGTTCCAGCAGCTGGAGCCTTTTTGCTCAAGCTCAGGTCATAGAAAAATTCAGCCTGAGGCAGACATGCTATTTAGAGGAAAATCTGAGCTCAGTTGTGGATAAGGAAATTCTTACATGGGATATACTAGATCACTTAACATACAGCCTGGTTTGAGGGTCTCCATTTCCCCTCCATTCACACCACATCTCAATTCCTCTGATTGGAAGCTCAGTGAAATCACGAGACCAAAGGGCAAGAGGTCACTGTAGCAAACTATTACCTTTTGAAACTCTTTAGCTTTTTCTCTGTTTTTAGCGTAAGTTTCTTGCCTTGTTTTTTCTTCCTTTCTGACCTTTACTTCTGCAAGCTGATTATAAAGTCTGTGAAAACAAAAAAAAAAAGTATCTAGGCAGGAAGGAAGGGGCAAAGATGGAGTAGGTTAACAAGCTTATGCATTTGCCCTGGCTCAGTTGCTAGCAATTGGGAAAATTTGACTGCACTCTCCAGTAATCCAGAATCACTTCAAATTCTTTTTCAGCTGCATCACACAAACCCCCTCTCTGTTCAGAGCTGCACTTTGTTGCCTGTTACTGCTCCTAAGTACCCAAGTGCAACTGTGAACTTGGCATCAACTTTCATCCCATGTCAGGCATTAAGTGACACAGCTGGCTCAGCAAGGTGACACCAGCAGAGTGACCTTCCTCAGTGCCACCTCTGCAAGGGCACTGCCCAGCAGGTACCTGCATCAAACACACCTGGCTCCTCTCCCACCTGTTCAGTGTTAAGCAGCACTGGGTCCAGCTGGAAGAGCACAGACTGAGCAGCAGCTTTCACAAAACACAGATTAACTCAGGGTTTTTTTGGGTTGTTTTTAATTAAACTTCTCCCACTTGTGTTCATGCATTACCTGGATGTACGCTTGTGCATTTCAATTTCTCCAGCCTTCCTATCCTCTCGAGAAGATACTTTTACTTCTCCGACTCTTTTCAACTGATTGGTGAGTGCACCATTTTTACCTAGGGAAAAAAAAAGAAGCCAAACATAAATTTAAATCTCTAGTTCAGCTAGCTCAAAAGCATGAGAGATTTCCAAAGATTTTTAAATGACACAACAAAATCCAAAACAAGCTAGCAGAATGGAAGCAATAGAGATGACATCCTGAGTTAAAATGAATCCTCCCAGTCTCACTCTTGAGGCTGCTGCCTGTGCTTTAGGCCATCCATGGCTCTCCCCAGCCAACCTCCAAGTCCTCGGGACCAGGCACTAGAGATGCACCAGTCTGCTAAACATGGCTGTTCTGTGATGAGCAGCTGCTGTTTGCAGAGGCACCTTGTGATGATAAAGGTGGGCTGATTGTGAAAGATGAAGAGCCCCTGTAATGGCCTTCACAACACTGAAGAGGCAGCCAGACTGGGGGAAAGCAAAGCTCCCTGATTCCCTGAGAAAACAAATTAAAGAATAGCCCAGTCTGCAACAGCAAACATGTAGCAAATATAAAATCTATTTTTTGATACAAAACAGCAATTCAAGGGATGCCTAATACTGCTCCTAGATAAACCTACCAGAGGGACCAGACTCCTTCTGTTTGCTTCTTAGATTCTTAGACTTTGCTCCTTGAAGCTTTCTTGCTCCCAGCTTTTCATTTTCTCTCTCCTTATTTTTTATTGCTTCTACTCTTTTCACAGATTCCTGAATGAAATTCTGCTTTCTTTTTAAAAAAGATTTTTGTAAACTTCCAGGTGTAGCTGCAAACTCCAGCAGCATCACTGTGAAAGAAAAGGAAAAGTCTCCACATTTCTCACTGTTAGCAATGAGCAAGCAGTAAGTCATACATTTCAAGATACTTCTCCTAAAACTCTGAGCTTGACCACTTTTGTAAATGGCATGAGGAGAATGGCATTGAATGATGAGGCATCTTGCAGAACCAGCAGCAGTTCAGACCTATGGAATCCAGTAATGATCAGCAGGTCTGCCCAGACCAATGCTGTGAGAAATACTGCATCAAAAGCATCTGGATGCATCAAAATGTAGTGAAAACCTGACAAGTCCCTAATACAATTAAGTTCTGTGAATTCCTGACATTCACATTACTACAGTTTATCTTGGACAAAAAAAGTCAGTATTTTACTACTGCTCCAGACTATCATCAGAATAGGGAAAAAGAAAGGATAATTCTTTGGCTGAAGGACTTGGGGGACTAAGAGAAAATAAGAAATAAACGAAGGAATACAAATTAGAAAATGACACAGATTTTTTCAAAATTAAGTCATTTTAACACCAAACAAGTGTATTGTCTAGATTCTGAAGTTTCATCAGAGAGAACCTGGCCCAGGAAGAGACAAGTTAATGTGACACACTAAACCTCAGACAAAGGTACTACAGAGCAAGCCTGAATAGCAGGATGCACTTGCCTAAGTAAAAGCAGCTCTAACTTTTCCAAATGAGAGTTGTATTTTGTTGATGATTTTAATACTAAAAAAAATACTTCCAACTTCAATGTACTGAAGTACCACATAATTACCTGCAGTCTGATGTGATGGACCATGACTTTCGTTGGAACTCTGAGCTTTGGAAGAACTGTCAGGCCTTGTGAATGCTGAATATTCTGCATCTGGACTTAGTGGTAAAAATTCTCTCTCCTGTTTCAAAAGGATCAGTGATTGAATTGGAAATGCTTAAAATATGCAACAAACTTGAGTGAAGCAGTACTACTATACCACTAGACCCAATGCAAAGAAAAGACATGCTTTTGCCTTTATGTCTGATGCAAAGAAAAATCAGAAATGGATCTTGGTAATAGGTATGAAGAAGCTGTTTTCTAAAAACATTTTAAAACTTAAAACAAAAACAAAAAACCCTCAAAAACCCAAAAACATCCATTAAAGACTTTCTGCCCACCAGATTTCACTTGCATGTTCTTAATACAGGTCTGCAAATCCAATTTCTTTTCCTTTCCTCCTGCTGCTCTCTCCAGTTCTCCCCATCACTCTCTTCCTGCTTTGTCTTTC